ATAATTAAAAAAAAAAAAGAAAATGTACCTATAAAAAAAAAATAAAGCAAAAAGAAACAAGTGGGATTGCATTAAATTAAAAGGCTATATGGGGAAAAAGGTGAAGCTTACAGACTGGGGGAAAATATTTGTGTGCCACACACCTGATAAGGGCTTAATATCAAAAATATACGAGGAACTCAAACAACTCAACAACAACCTGAATATAAAAAATGGACCTGAATAGACTTTATCTAAAGACAGAAAACAATCAATAAGCTTATGAAAAAGTGTCACCATCGCTAAACATCAGAGAAACAAGAAACAAAATCACAATTACATTAGCTCCTCACAGCTATTAGGATGGCTATTGCCAGAAAGACAAAGATAAAAAGTATTGATGGAGAAAAGTGAACCTTTGCATATTTCTCTGCAGCGCTATATGCAAGAGCCAAAAAAGAAACAAGGACCATGTCTGCCGGTGGACAGATGGACAAAGAAGTTGTGATACAAACAGGGATAGTGTTCAGTCTAATAAAGGAGGTCCTGCCACTTGTGACAACAGGGATGAACCTCCAGGACATTCCGCTAAGTAATGAGCCTGGAGAGAAAGAAGTACTGCTGCAGTGCATGGAATCCAGCAGACAAACATGCAGAAACTGAATATATTTGACAGTGGTGGCCAGGGACTCATGGTAGGTAGGAGGGCTGTGGGGTGGGGGCCAAAGGATGCACTGTTGCAGCTTGGTAGGATCTGTCCAAAGACCCAGTGTGACGTGTGAAGAGGTGGCTATACAAGCTTGATTTGTCACCATTTCACTCTGTATACAATACCAAAGCACTACACTATACAACTTAATTAATCACAAGGGGCATGGGGGCGGGGCACACACCTGTAATCCCAGCACTCAGGATGCTGAGGAAGGAGGATCACCATGAGTTCAAAGCCAGCCTGGGCTACGGAATGAGACCTTGCCTCAAAAACCCTAATTATTTGATAAGAGTAATCCACAGGGAAGCATCCCCCAAAGCACCTCAGAAGCAGATCAGACCTGCTAGGGCATCTGAACAGCAGGAGTGCAGGGGAGACAGAAGAGGGGTATGAGAAGGGCAGAGGTCATGGCGTGGTCTCCTTGGCCAGGGAAGTGAAGAATGGTTGCTGAGGCCAGAGTACCCCAAAGCTGCACACACAGTGCAGGAGCAAGAACCCTAACAGAGCACAAGCCTGGAGCCTGTCCTCCTGGCAGGTGTGATGCACCACACAGAACAGACTCAGACAGGATGGTGAGCTGTCAAGGGCCCACTGCCTTCACGCCTGTGCTGCACACCACACCCAGCACTAAGGGGCTGCTCCGCCCTCAGGAGGGGCAGCAGAAGTTCGGGCCAAGGGCAGTGTGCCTCACTTTCACTGTTTTCCACTAAGTGCTACCCATATAATCAAATTCTCACTTTAAAGCAAATCCTCGCTTACTTTATTCTACTATTGTTTACATTTCTGTTGAACTTAGGAGAAACTAAGAACTTAGGAGAAACTATTCTTGACAGCACTTCCTTTGAGAAACTGCAGCTGGCCCCTGGAATGTGGCTTTTGCTCTGTGGCAGTGGCCCAAGCCACTAGACAGAGGACCACTCAATCTGTGATGGGGTAAGTCCTGTTGTACAGCTCTGCCTAGCAAAACCAAAATTGTGCTCAAAGGGTATTAATTCCAAG